GTTCAGATCTTTTGTTCATAGGGGCATTATGAGTAGTATTCAACTTGGTGGCAACTAACAACAATAACAACATCCTTTAGATAACGTCTTTTAATTCTGAAAACTCCTGCCTTGGTCAGTTTAACCCCTGCACCACAACTCAAATGCATCAATTCTTCTCCTGTCATCCTTATTCAATGTCCAGTTTTCAGATTCATAGCAGGTGATTGGAAAGACTGTGGCTTGAGTTGGATGCATATTAGTCTTTAAAGTGTCATCATTGCTCTTCGGGTCTTGGGAGAGTTATGCGTCTTCTAGTCTCCTGGCCTATAGAGTGGGAGAGTGCTCCCAGGCATGATGTGAGGATGATGGGCTGGGAAAGCTCTTTGTAAAGTCCCTCAAAGGTGGAATTCTTACATATTTGCTTGAGCTACTTCCCACTCCAGAAACATAGTGGGTTTATTTGGTTTTTAACTTTCTATTATGATTTCTCATCCCCCCTTGCTCTCTGAGCCTAATCCTTCATTAGATGCTGGCCTTTTTTATCTCACATGGCTAACCATTCCAATGACTGGATTTCTGGCGTCACTGACCATTTAATAGTTATGCTTGTTGTTTGACTGGAAGCAAAGTCATGGGTGGTGTTATCTCCAGACATGAAGGGTGACCAAAGGCCATAGTCTCTAGGATTCAGCAAGCCTGTTCTTTTCTCTGATTTTTATTTTCTTCTATGTTCTTCTTGTTCTCTATCAGAAACCTTTTATTGTTATCCTTTGGAGAGCTATGTTTGTACAGAGATAATGAAAGTCATTAATAGACTATTAAGGAAGACTATTTGATTTCTTAAGAGCTTTTAGGTGATTTAATAATTTTAGAAATAACTAAATGGAAACAATTGGAACAGATCTCTACATATTGCTAACCTAGCTTACATTATACCATAAGATTGAAAGCCATATCTCTACTCATCTATCTTTATAAACATTTACCCTCAAGTCTAATGTGACTCATAACAACCATATGTGCATCAGAATAGAACTGTGCTCCATATAGTTTTCAATAGCTAACTTTGAAAGTAGATTTCCAGGCCTTTTTCCCCGAGGTGCATCTGTGTGTATGCACACCTCCAATCTTTCAGGCAGCAGCCAAATGTTTACTGTTTTTACCACCCAGGGACTTTATTATATGTTGCTGTTGTGTGTTGTGTACTATTGGGTCTAAACCAATGGGTAGCTGAACCCTCAGTGAGTTTTCAGATGCAATAAATGGCACAGGAGGAGATTGCCCATCTTTCTATTGCAAGACAGCTGGTAGCTGGTGGATTTGAACTATTTGTCTTTGGGTTCACAGTACAACTCCTTATCCTAGGTGATACTGTATGTTACATATTGGGGAAAAATATATATATATATATACACACACACATACATATACATACACACACACACACACATATACATATATTTAAAGCAAAAACTCATACACATTGTCCAACTCATACCTGACCCTCCAAGTGATTTTCTGAGGGAGGAGATTGCTTATCTTTCTTCCACAGAGCCACTGGTGGATTTGAAGAGGGTCATGGCCTTTGGGTTAGCAACACAGTTCCCTACCCACTGCCACCACTATTACATATATAAATATATATTACAAAGTATAAACATATATGATTTTTTTTCTCATAAGTACACAAGGACTCCTAGTGACACACTGAATAAAGTGCTAGATTGCAAACCAAAAGGTGAGCAGTTGGAACCCACCAGCCACTCCTCAGGAGACAGTTGTGGTGGTCTGCTGCCATAAGATTCACATAAGCCAGCCTGCACAGCTGTGGCTCCAATCACTACACATAGTGACCCGCCATCAAGTTTCCAAGGCTGTGAAGGAGCAGAATCTCCATGTTCCTCCTGTAGAGCAAACCATTTAATCTGTAGATTATTCTTATTATCTTTAGAAATATAAAGCAACATGTAAAGAGTACAACCTTCGGGATTCTGTGAGGGAGTTCAACACTGTCCTATTGTGTTGTTGTAAGTGGGAAGCAACAGGTTTTGTTTGGGGGTTTGATTTTAGAGATACGCAAATATAGGGATCTCCAATGGCCTAGTGGGTAACAAGTTGCACTGCCAAACCAAAGGCAGGTGGCTAGAATCCACTGGGTGTTCGGCTGGAGAAAGACGGGCCGTCTCCTTCCATAAGATTTATTGTCTCTGAAAACCCACTTAAGAATCAGCTATAAGTCAGTTCTGAGTCAATGGTAGTAAGTTTTTGGTGGTGTTATACGTGTGTGTGTGTGTGT